CCAGGTCACCATGACAGCTCAGCATTACTGAGGGGCAGCTTGGAGCTGAAATGAAAAAAAACCACCAAGCCAGAAAAATAATTAAATTTAAAAATATTTGCCCCCTGTTCCCTGGGAGGAGCTTCTCCTTCCCTTTGCCTGTTTCCTCACCTCTGAGGCACTGCCGTGGTGCCGTGSAAGGTCCTCCCTGGCAGGGGGTTCTCCAGTTATGACAACTTGATTTGACAACACGTTTCTCATGCACAGTTCAGTGTGTGTAGCCAGGGGCATGCCTGGCTGGATAATTGGATTTGGGAGGGCAGCGTTTGTACAATGGTGACACCTCTTGCTGCGGAGCCGATCTCTGCGGCGCTGCAGCTGAGACAACATTGGGGCAATCTGTTCCAGCCTTTGTTCCAGGCATATCTGACTGCTGGGAAAAGGAACCACAGYGAGAGGCTTCCCTTGCAGCCCAAGGAAGCAAAACCAGGGCCTTGTTCTGTATCTCAAACAGGGAAAGCTGACAGAAGTGAAGCTCTGCAAAGGCTTGAGCAGCTTATGCAGATTTGCTGCTGTGTGTTCTTTTCTCGAGACCCTTTGTAACACGCAAGGGCTGCTGCACTGCGGCCTGCAGCCCTTTGTTCCTYATTTCTGTTCTTACTAAATTCAAAAAAGAGAAGTTGGCAATAGGGTTTTGCCCACTTGGTCTCGTTTATTGTCCATACATCCCTTCCAGGTACATTCTTTGCCCCTTCAATTTCTGCTTAACTATGTCAATCAATCCAACTCTTCTTTGCTTCTCTTTTTAAAAGGGACACAGATTCCGCCAGTGCTCTTTGGATACTCAGGTTTTGAATTCTATTGGTGATTCAGTCAAATTCAGAGTTTCAGAGTCTGCTGTTCCCTCAGACAGGGAAATGCCAGCTTTAATCCAGTCCTACACGCTCTGGGGGAAATCCAGGCTTTGTGCAAGTCAGGTTTAGCCAGGAAACTTCGAGCTTTGAGCTTCCCTGTAGCTCCAATGGCCTTTGCATGTCTGGAGCTGCGCTAGGTCTGAGCTAAATCCACTTGTAGCTGGGTGGTGAAATTGCTTGCTGAGCACTGCAGCTGTGGTGCAGGGGCTGCTGCCCTCCCTCAGGCTTGCCAGTGGCTTAATGGAATAAAAAAAGGAAGGTGTCATGTATTATTTTATTATTTATTTTGTTATTATTTATTGTTTGTAATAAATAAATGCTCAGTCCCTGCTCCCTGGGTTTGGTTGCTGTGCTCAGTCCAGCCCTGCTGCTCTCTGCTGTGCCTTTGGTGCTCCCTGCTCCTGCTTCTCCCCGCACTGTGCCCTGTCCTGCCTTGCTGCCCCAGCTCTTCCCTTTAACCCCTGCAATGGTCTCTGTTCCCACACCCTCCTCGGGAGAGCGGCCCCGCAGGGGCTGGGGCTGGTGAGGAGCTCGTTGCCCTCAGTCACTGTGGGGGGATTGGGTTGTTCTCAGAATCTCAGAGTGCTTTGGGTTGGAAGGRAYCTGAAAGCTGACCCAGCACCGCCTCCAGCTATGGCAGGGACACCTGCCACTGTCCCAGGCTGCCCCCAGCCCCAATGTCCAGCCTGGCCTTGGGCACTGCCAGGGATCCAGGGGCAGCCACAGCTGCTCTGGGCACCCTGTGCCAGGGCCTCAGCACCCTCCCAGGGAACAATTCCGTCTCAATTTCCCATCCATCCCTGCCCTCTGGCACTGGGAGCCATTCCCTGTCTCCTGTCCCTCCATCCCTTGTCCCCAGTCCCTCTCCAGCTCTCCTGGAGCCCCTTCAGGCCCTGCAAGGGGCTCTGAGCTCTCCCTGGATCCTTCTCCTCCCCAGGTGAGCACCCCCAGCTCTCCCAGCCCGGCTCCAGAGGAGCTCCATCCATTGACCATTTCCGTGGCCTTCTCTGGATTTGTTCCAACAGCTCCACACCTTTCCTCTGCTGGGATCCCACTCACAAACACCATGTTTTCCGTCGCATTTCACCTGGATTCTATTGGCCCTGGGCCATCTCTTCCCTTGAAATAAAATTACAAATCTGCATAGTATGGGAAGAGCTGGGAAAGTGATGGGAAAG